CTGTTTTATCTTGTTTTGTTTTAACATAGGGCTGTTTTAATTTTAATTTTAATTTTATGTCTTATGTGATTTATTTATTTAATTTGCTGTTTAACTTACTTTCTGTACAGCACTTTGTTCCTGTGCTGGGTATTTTAAAGTGCTTTATAAATAAAATTGGATTGGATTGGATTGGAGTTAAGCATTAAGAATAAGTGGAGATATATTTACAGATGGGTACAAAATGCACTTTTGTCCTATGTGGATAGCTTCCTTCTTTATAACAACTCTGCATTGGACCAATTTTGTTTGTACCTTATTCCCTATGTAACTGATTTAGGGATGTGGCTGCACTAATTCATAGGTTGTCCTAACATTTAGGCAACTAGGCTTCATCCACTACTTCAAGCAAAACTTAACTGGACTTCCTCACCATTACATGGCTAATATTAAGACTTGCTGTGTGTGATAGACCATCCAATTAGTTTTTGCTTCAGTTTTGCTATTTTAATAGTCAGTTATTTAGCACTAATTAGCCTATTTGCATGTGTGTGTGTTTCAGCTAACGTAGCCAGGCAGCATTAGATGATAAAAGGGCATTGCATCATTCATATAAAGTCATGTATAGATAAAACACTAACACTGAAGCTTCAACATGTCCAAAACTGATGAGTGAAGTCATGGTGGCTACATCCATCTTTTTATACCAGCTTAGTTTAGAAGTTGAACATTTAGTTGACTGTCTAGACAGAATATATCATCAGGAGTATATTTTGCAACTTGTCAACACACAAACCGTTCAGCACATTCAGCACACAGTTATTTAGTTATTTATCTAGCCAATATTTTCTCAAAGAAATCTGAACCTTTAAAGGAATAATAGGCAAAGGCCAGTTTAAAATATTTGCAGTATTTTTGTACAGTGTTTGTGCAGCAGGTTTTTCAACAGGCATTTTCCTTGTTAGTAAAGAACAGGATTTAAATGTGACTTGAGCAGTTCCCAGCCAAACTTTCCATAAAAGGTTATCATGAACTGAACGCAGAGCATTTTAAAAGTCTTAGAATTGAACTACCCACAATTCAAGCAGAACTGTGGCAGTGAAAGTGAAAGAATAAATGCTTCCTGGGAAGGTTTTCCTGTCACTGAATGAATGTACTCAGTGTGCTTCAGCAGGCTGTCCTGTAATTTTTGGT